AACCTGCCCTTGTTGCTCCTGTTTGTTTAGAATTAGAGCCCTTGTTGCTCTGGATTTTATTTGGGGCCCTTGTTGCTCCTGTTTAGTTTGATTTAGAGCCCTTGTTGCTCTTGTTTATCTTGAATTAGCCCCCTTGTTACTCTGGTTATATTTTACTTGGAGCCCTTGTTGCTCCTGTTTATTTTGATTTAGAGCCCTTGTTGCTCTGGATTTTATTTGGGGCCCTTTTTGCTCCTGTTTATTTTGAATTCGAACCCCCTTTTTTTGCTCTCATCACAGGCTATTGCGGCGACACTGTGTCAGCCATGCCTGTTCCCCAAAAATATATATATATATATATACTGTATTGAGAATCTTTAGTGTTAGTTCCAGGTACTTGTTGCCCCCTTTTCTGTAGATGCCTCCTCGTCGTTCACAGCGATCCAAGCGGCCATCTGCTCAGGCCTTGGAGGCCTTGGAAATATTTCCTTTGCGGTGCAAATGTTCGCAGCCGATGCGACACAAAACCTGCAGGACACGAAAAACTGCGAGCACAATCGCTGACGCGAGATACGAAAATCGGACGATGTCGGAGAAGACCGAACTGAATTCCGAGAATTATCCGAAGGTTTCTACTGTTACGGACGGACGGACTTGCACTCTGGGTAGCATAGTATCTAGGACTTCTCAGAAGTCCGGAGATACAGAAAATGTCACCGTTCAAACCAATCCTGTGGTCAAATAACAATCACTCTCCACATAGACATATGTGAAAGCCAAATGAAATTGTTTTTTCTCTTTCTGGTTTTTTATTGTATTAAACAATATGCATTTTTTTAGAAGATGACTTCGGTTGAGTCGATTGTGAAATTACCAAAACATTCATCACCTTGTCTGCCAGTAGTAACTGTACACTTCTGACGAAAAATTGCAGACTGCAAACCGGGTACAAAATTCAATCATGGTGTTTATTTCTTGGTGTTTTTCATTTCAAAAAGTCTTCTCTGAGCGGCTATCAAAAGAGCTCAGTTTTTTACCCCAGTGCAGCTTAGCGTCGATGACACTCATGTTGCGTTACAGGTATCGAGACGGATTTGATTGGCTACATTGACCCATGGAATTTCCTGAAGGAAATATAAAATTACAACTATAGGTTTTGCTTAGTTGAATTCAGGATCGAGGAAATCTATTTCAAATATCACTCTCAAAGATACTTAGGCAAAAGCCCAAACGATTTTATTTTTGCAGAGCTCCCAAAGAAAAGTGTTTTTGCCATCGCTTCTCAAGCGACCACTAAATATGTCAATCGTATTAAAAGCAGTCAAAGCCTGTATATGGCTAGTGCTGTGTAAAATGGGTTAAGATGAATACATTTTCATGTAATTACTAGAATTTCTTATTTCAACCAACTGAAGAATGCCGTTGAAGTTGTTATCAGCAATATGCAGTTTTTGTTGAAGTGGGATTCCCGTTTTTAATCGTCTCAAAAAGGGCGATGTACAACTTTTTATTTCCAGCAATATAATAATGTTTTGAAATAGGTGTAACATTTACAATGAAAACTATAAAAAACAAGGTTTCAATTCCATTGCTAAAGCACGTGAAATTGGACATTTTCCCAGTATCATCAATATAATATTATAGTAATAAGTGTCGAGATTACGAGGTAGGTAAAGTCTGTTTACGAGCCAAGTGGCCCATCAGGTCGGCGCTTAACTCCGGTTTCTGAAGCTTTCTTTTTAAATTAATTTGTGGCAGTTTGGCTTAGTACCCGTGGTGACACAATAAGTGTACGAGTTACATTAGCTGGTACATAAATAATATTTCTCTGTGTCTTAAGTTGTCTTCCTTTAGGTGCTTGCATTAACTTCTGATATGCGATTCTTGGTGCTAATAATCTACACTCTAATTCATTAAGGTAAAAAAAGTCTGACTTCTCAGGAAATATCAGACCATAAGCGACTGCACATGGTGGCCTCTTGTTCTTAATCAAATGATGATGACATATCCTACAAATCCACTCTTTGTTATCAACACTTGTTTTATCACACAGACAAGTTTTAATGTCAGTATTGGACTGTCAAAGTTTGTCAACATTTAGTACACTATGCCTATACCACAACTGGTCACAGCAAGCGCATATATACAGTGGCCCTTGACTCACTATTTTATGGAATTTTTTTATGTAATAACTCAAAAGAAATATTAGAAGTTCTATAGCTTCCTTGGTCGGTATTCATTACATTTTGCTTTTTTCTCTGTAGATGAGTTTTTTCTATAATTTTTTGGTATTTACTACGTTTTGCTTTTTTCTCTGTTGCACTTAAAGTTTTCCTATAGTTTCTTTAGTACTCATTGCATTTTGCTTTTTTCTATGATATTTGAGTTACTCAGTATATACTTTTTCTGATATTCGTTTCGTTTTGCTTTTTATTCGGGTAGTTAATTGTGTACAAATTCTATATTGTTTCCCGTATTCAGCTTTTTGTTGGTTTTTGAGGATTTTTTCATACTTTATTTTTACTAGAAAGTGTACAAGCATTGCTCACAATTAAATTAATAGGTGTTTCACTATCAGATTGAATTGAATTTGGAGTGTACAAAGCTGTGCATGATGAAACATGAAGCGTTTCATCTAAATGTCCTGAATTATTTGATAGTTTTTGAGTTTTCCAAGAAATTAGGACGCACAGGTTCAACTTAAATGTCAATTCTCTAAAGTTTTCACTTGATTCTATAATGTAAGTGTTCAGATTCATTGCATCAGAAACTGCTTGTGTTATAAAGTTATCTGTCCAATCACCTTGTATAGACATATCAGATAAGACTGTAACCAAGGCATATCAACTACTTTTTCTATGAAACGTTCAAGATTGTCTGTCATATGCCTAACTCCAACTAACTCTGATTTCTACATGACGACTTGAATCGCCATATAACTGGTGTGATATTGACTTAAATAAACAATCGCCACCTCAGACTCTACCACCAACATCTAATGGTCTTTATAATCTAACTCTTAACATTCTATAGCGCAATATAAATTTAGGGTCACTAAAGGAAATATTTCAACAGTATTAGCTATTATGGGGTCATGATTTGATTCAACATGACTAGAAATTAATATTCTTTGTGAAGATACATATGTAGCCGCTGATTTTATAGTTTTGTTATGAAAGAAACTATAGAAACTGACTTGTTTTTTGTAAAAATTTTGCTTTCCAAAGCTGAAAATTTCTAGCAATGTGATATAAAGCAGAAGAAAAAGGTACTGTTTTTCTCAGCATTTTTTTGCATTTCGTTCTTATTTGTCTAATATTTAGTGGATGTAAAATTTTTTTCAATAGTATTCTTGATGGTTCTCTATATCTTACTCTTCCATTTTTAACTTTTGAACACAATCAAGAATGTCTATACTTTCAAACACAACTCAGTGAGTTTATCTTAGACACTAACAGTTATTTATCTAAAGATGCATTACAATCAAATTGAACACTCAATTATATTTAGAACCTGAGGCACAACTTTCATAAATGCATTTATTGCAATACGCAATTGTTTGTATTGTTTGCACAAATAATTTTGCGTTCTGTGGCTAATTTTGGCAAGATCCACAAGGTATGGCATATCAAGTTTATTTTGTTCCTCAGTACTGGGTTTGTTTGATTCCCGATAGAGTTGTTTGGACTCCCGAAGGAGTGTTTTAGTACCACTGCTAAGTTTTTTTGCCTCTCGAAGGAACTGTGTTGTCCCATTGCTGGGTTTGTTTGCCTCTCGAAGTTGTATTGTTCCATTAATTAGTGGGTTTCTTTGACTCCCGAAGGAATTGTTTCGCCCTATTGTTGGCTTTGTTTGACCCCCGTAAAATATGTCTCGATTTGGACGATGGTTTCTTGACACGTAAAGGACACAAACGATTAAAAAAACGTATAAATATGTTTTGAAACAAATACTTTGTAAATGCACAGAAAGTTGAGCCTGGTTCTTGCTGCAAAATAGTGAAAAATCATTGTGTAAAAGTAGACGACTCACCTTACTTGCGAAGATACAAAGCACATTGCCAGCAGGAAATCGGTGCTGTTGTGGTCGATAACTATCCGTAATATCCATGTGGCAATTCCATGAGTATCTTTATTCATAGATTTTCGTCAATTTTCTAATTTAATTTTGATAGAATAAATACGTAAACCGAATCGCAGTGACAGTCTGTGTGAATTAAGATCCTAACCTGCATATTTTGATCGCAGGTGGCGTGTTACAATAATAAATTACTCTACTCGATAAAGATTCGAAATACTCCGGAATTTGCAGAAAATCGTTTCGAATCAAAATCGAGTTGTACGAATCAAACTGAGTAACAGTCATACACTCACTCAGATCGACAGCAAGATAATATGGCTAGGCCCATGTATAGGCCTTAGCCAGAAAATCAATTAGTTTCGAGAGTCCAATGCAATTAAGAATTAAGTAAGTCATGGGATCCCCCTGAGCCGTTTGATGATTGACTTTTCCCTAATTATAAATGTCTCTAATATCATGAATGACTAGGGGTTTATTTCTGTTTCTAGTCTAATCAACCGGTTATCGCCTTGAATCTAGGAAAAATATGGCACCAGGTGAAACGAAGACAATTGATGAAATCAGCGACATAGGTGATATGTTAGAATTAGTAAATGCACTTGGAATCTCTGCCGCAGGACTAACGACACTGGAAGAGTTAAAAGACAAAGTAAAGACCAAATCTAAGCCTTCAAACACTTCTGGTGGTACAGAAAGTCAGGTAAGTGTTTACCGTGTCACAAAAAAGTAAAGTACATATATTACCTATTTATCATTTATATATTGTAGCTCAATTTAAAGATCTGCAGCGAACCTTTGTCGGGAATTTTCAATATGTACACGGATTCTTATTGTTAGCTATCGATTTTCTCTCACGAAACAGTACATTAAACGCATCTACAAAGAATCCGAAAAGTATATGCTGATAAATGCCACTTAGATAAAAGATTGTTCTCCCCTCCCTTTTCATGACTCTTTCTCTTCTACTTAACCCCCTCCTGCCTCTCCTTCTCTTTCTCCTTCTCCTTCCCCATTTCCTTCTCCTCCTCCCTCCCTTACTATTCTTTCTTACTCCTTTTCCTTCTTCTCCTTCTCCTTCTGCTTCTCCTTCTCCCTCTCCTAGTCTACTTTCTTACTCCTTTTCCTTCTTCTCCTTCTCCTACTCCTTGTCCTTCTCCTTCTTATACTCTTCTTTTTTCTTCTTCTTCTTCTTCAATTCCTTCTCCTCCTCCTTCTTTCTCCTTCCCCTCAGTTATTGATTGTATTTCGGTTGAAGATTTTTCCGAGATTGTTGCCTTTAGGGAAGTGCTTTTCTACTAGGATAAGGAATCTGTGTCCGATATTGGCGCTGACGGTTTTGTTGAATGGGAGGCCGGGTTGTACCAAAGTATGTTGTTCCGTTGTCTGTCTTTTCGTTTGTTAGTCGTGGGTGATTTATAGTGTAGGCTATCTCGAACTTGGTGGGGTTGCTTAGTAGGCAGGTAGATTTGTTAGCGACGTTCGGTTTGTGGTCTTTCAGTGTTATGAATGCGTCTTTGTTAGCTGTGGTGTTCGCCCTGTCATCGATGCCCAGTTTTGTAGCGATGTTTTTGTTTTCTGAATGGATAGCCCGTGTTATTTTGTTTATTGCTTTTTTGTAGGATTTGGTGATGTTTCGTTCAATTAGGGTGTTGTATGTGGATGGTTCCAGTATATAAAAGTTCGTTGTTTTGTTAGCGGCGATGAAAAGCTTGGTTTCGTTTTTGATGCGTTCGGTATCGTATTTCAGCTTGTTGAGGAAAGGGTTATTCACTTGCTTAAATTTCGTCCATTGTATCATCTTGAGCATATCGTGGTGTCTTCAAATTCCTTTAGTTCGTCGATCGGAGAGGGGTTCCTGGTAGAATTGAAGCCGTATGTGTCTTTCGAGGGAATTGGTCGTGTGGGGGTTTGGTCGTGTCGGGTTTGAGGAGGAAGTATGATTTCCAGCGCATTCTTTCGTAGAAACTGCTCGGCTTTTTCGACAAGTCGTTGCAAATGGTCGCTCTGTGATGGTAACGGAACTGACTCCTCGTAGAGTAGCCAATATCGAACTTTTCCATTACGGGTTGTTGTAAAGTGCTCAACAAGTGTTAATTTGAAGCGTATTAGGAACTCTGCGTTTGGATTTTACGATTTCCAATTTAATATTTTTTTTTTTAGCGATCACGAAACGCGCCTCTAGGGATAAAAATGTAGTCGTCCAATTTTTTTTTTTTTTAACATATAAATATATATATATATATATAACTAACTGCAGACAGTACTGTTTCGGCCTTCTGGGCCTCATCAGTGCAGTGCTAATGCTAGGATGGAGGAGAACCAATATGGTCACCCCAAACGATCCAACCTTTGTGGTATCGTCTAAGCCATGCAAGTACCTGTGGAAACTCAAGGAGAAGAGGGAAGACTATTCGATCTCATAGAAAATTATTGCTAGGCCTTAGAGCACATTCCAATGCCACAAAACGTTGCAATTTATGCCTCACTGAGAAATTTTTCTATACCATGAATCCTTCCTCATACGACAAATTGCTTAAAGAGAACATTACCAAGACCTACAAAAAGTCAAGCGATCACCTTGTTGACAAGTTAGACTCCCAGTCTGCCAGAATTGCTGAGCGACTGAAGTTGGACAACCGCATTGAGAAATTGGCTAAGAAAGATGCATTGATCTCGTTGAAAGATCATAAACCCAATTTTCAAGACAATCCATCATGCCGCTTAATAAATCCTTCTAAGCCTGAAATTGGGAAAATTAGTAAGCATATCCTCGATGAAATTAACAACGCTATCATCACCAGCAGTAAAGTAAACCAGTGGAAAAACACCTCCAGTGTCCTTAAATTTGTTTTATTAGTTTAGAAAACAAGAGCTCTCTTTCATTCATCTGTTTCGACGTTTGTGAATTCTACCCCTCCATAACTGAGAAGTTGCTTTCGAAAGCACTAGATTTTGCTTCTAAGTACTGCTCAATCAACAACCATGAGCGTGAAGTAATCGTGCACACAAAACGATCTCTACTATTTAAAGATGATTGCCCATGGGAGAAAAAATCTGCCAGCAACCTCTTTGATGTTACCATGGGGTCCTTCGATGGAGTGGAAACGTGTGAGCTGGTTGGGTGCTTTCTCTTATCAATTCTTACTGAGAAGTATGGTCAAAATATTGGTTTATACCGAGATGATGGTTTGGCTACCCTCAATGGAACACTGCAGGAAATAGAGAATATCAAGAAAGGTTTTTGCAAAGTCTTCCGCGACAATGACTTAAAAATCACAGTTGAGGCTAACATCACCAAATCCAAATTTTCTGGACGTCACGCTTGACCTCTCAAGTGGTAAGTATTACCCTTTCACTAAGGAAGGCAACATTGCCCTGTACGTGCATAAAAAATCCAACCACCCGCCATCCATTCTGCACAACATCCCTGAATCAATCAATAGGAGGCTCTCCGAGATATCTTCCGACAGGGAATGCTTCGATAGCGCTAAACCTATTTATCAAGAAGCTCTCAAAAAAGAGGGTATATAGCTACACCCTGTCATTCAAAGCCGCATCAAACCAGGCACCACGTCCACCAAGAAATAGGCAGTGGAATATTACATGGTTTAACCCATCATATAGCAAGAACGTGGAAACTAACGTCGGAAAATGCTTCCTTGCACTTGTTGATAAGCATTTCACCAAAACTAATCCTCTTCACAAAATTTTTAACCGAAACACCCTTAAATTGAGCTACAGCTGCATGGGAAGCATTACAACTGTCATATCTAACCATAACAAAGCAGAAATCCGGAAACTCGCAAGAATAATGATCAAGCTAGGAAAAGCTGCAACTGTAGGAAACCTGACATATGCCCCATGGATGGAAGCTGTAACATGGAAAGCGTAATTTACCAGGAAGAGGTCACCACAGAAACTGCAAAGGAAACATACATTGGTCTCTGTGACACCGCGTTTAAAATGCGTTACACGAACCACTTGTGTTCATTCCGGAATGAACGTTACAGGCATGCTACTGAACTTAGTAAATATATATGGAGTCTTAAGGACAAGAACACTAAGTTTAATATTAAGTGGCGCAAGGTAAAACAAGCTAGTTCTTATTCCAATGTAGCTATGAGATGCAATTTGTGTTTGTGGGAGAAATATTTTATCATTTGTAAACCGCAAATAGCGAGCTTAAACAAGAGAAATGAGCTGACATCATGTTGCAGGCATGTCAGGAAATTCCTGTTAAATAACGAAACGTTACGATCGCGCGTGTAGTATCTTGCGCGCGCATGTACACATTGTTCTGTCTTTTAAATTTCGGTGGATTGTAACCGTTATTTCTGGCAGTTGCCTGACGATTGCTTCGCAAGAGGCATGAAACTCAGAGTTGCAGTAAAAGTTCAAGTAGGGTAGAATTGAAGCCGTATGTGTCTTTCGAGGGAATTGGTCGTGTGGGGGTTTGGTCGTGTCGGGTTTGAGGAGGAAGTATGATTTCCAGCGCATTCTTTCGTAGAAACTGCTCGGCTTTTTCGACAAGTCGTTGCAAATGGTCGCTCTGTGATGGTAACGGAACTGACTCCTCGTAGAGTAGCCAATATCGAACTTTTCCATTACGGGTTGTTGTAAAGTGCTCAACAAGTGTTAATTTGAAGNCGAAGTAGGGCTAATTTCAATTTAAACAAAAGAATATTAATCCGGCAGCCATTTATGAAAGTAGTCTATTGAAAGTAGAAATTCTGTCTTGGTCACTCATCTTTGTTTTAATTACCTAACGACTAGAACAGGCTGCAAAGAGCCTACTTGCATTTACAGGAAAGCTGATACACTCTTTATATATATATTTAGTATAATTTCAGAGCTGAGCAAAGAGTTTCCAAAAATCTGATTGGTCGAGCGGTTCCTTATATGACGCTGTATAAACCGCTCCACGCGGTTTATATAAAATGTTAAAATAAAATGCTAATAAATGTTACTAAAAAATGTTATGATTTTAGAAATTTCTCTGTTGTTCAGCTCTAAAATTATATTAAAACAATTATTCGCCTCAGGTTCGGTGAATATTGTCGATTAGACGATATTCACCTCGCCTTAGGCGAATAATTGTTAAATATACAGGAAAGAAAGGAGAAAGCCTTGGCAAAATCATCGTATTAGACAAAAGTGATTTGATACATACCTTCTTCTTTTTGTTCTCTTGTACTACCTATTGCCTTTAGCCAGAAATCTCTTTTACCTGTCTTACTACCTTTTTTTCGCGAAATATAGCTGCAAAAGCCTGAAGACTCTTATTTGTTTTCCTAGCCATTCCAAGTTCTATCAGAAGCATTCAGGAAAGACAAGCAAAAACGTGACAAGTTGTGCAGCCTATATAAAGAAACGAAAGGTTTCCTCGACCAGCTGAATGAAGACACAACTCTCAAAGTCCTCGGAGAAAGCGTGAAGGACTTTAAAGCAACTCTGGATAATAATATCGAGAGAATCAAACCAAAAGATCAATATATTATCCTTGTTGTAGGTAAGCATTTATCCCTCCTCTAAACTGCGATTACCTCAGATTTCATCAAGCTTTAAGAACCAACTAATCAAGATCACGTTTGAAAAACAGGTGAAACCAGCGCAGGAAACAGTAGCATCATCAATCTCATTCTTGGAGAAGATCTTCTATCTTCTAAAGTTCTCCATTGCACTTCAACAATATGTGAGTTAAAATATGGCAAGAAACCTGCCATTCTCGCACACTTTGAAAACGAAGAGAAAAATCCGCCGACTTTGTGGGAGCTTGGAGATCCTTCGAGTTTCAAAGAGAAAATAGCAGAATTTGCTTCCTCGAAAACTCAAGATGGACGAGAGAGAGCTCCTTACAAGAAGGTAGAGGTGTTTTGGCCGCATCAATTGCTCAAGGTAAACGAGAGGGATCAATATTATCCCGAAATGCTTTTGTTAATCACTTCTAGTTATTGATCGTTTTTTTACGTTACTTTTTTCTTTTTGGAGCTTCATGAAGTTAACCGTCTGAATCGTTTAGAAGGGAATATGGAAACAGTTGAAATAAAAACACCAAAATCAGGCGTTTTATATTGATCAAAACAGATTTTATTACGGAGCACTTTGAAAATATTCAAACTTTACTCGCGGATTTAGTATACAATAAGGGTGGATGTTTTGCATGTGGCGTATTATTTTCCCCAACACCATAGCGGGTCGCAAAAATACAAGCAATGATCAAAATGTGCGTTCGTAGAATGCGTGAAACTACCGCATAAGTGATTCATCATTCCACTGTGATTTAATTTTCAGTTTTCTGACTTCTAGTTTTCGAAATTCCTCCTACAGCCTTATTTTCGCATCCCGTCGATTGAGTAAGGCATGCGTGATAAACTAAATAAAAACAAAACAAAACAATCCCTACAGTTTAAAACAAAGTTGTACCAATCTAATATTTGATGCATTTTTTTGTTACCGATTAATTGGTAGATACAGACTAAAAAGGTATTTCTTCGGTCCAAATAGGAGGGTGTCATGATTGTCGACAGTCCTGGAGTTGGGGAAAGCCAGGCTATGGATCAATGTGTGCATGATTACCTAGCAAATGCATTCTGCTTTATGTATGTTATAAAAAGTACCAATGCTGGAGGAGTTAAGAAGGACAGAGTAAGTTTGAAGGCAGCATGGCTATTTCTTCAGGCCCAGCTCTCTATATTTTTAGTTCTTGTGTGTTTGCCTTTCTTTACTGTTACCTCACGCGGCGTTTTCATTTGATTTGTTTATTATTTTCATTTTTGTGTTTTGCCTCATCCATGATAAGAACAGAGCCAAGTGGCTCATGCATATCTCGTTTCATAGCATGAAGTGACTAGGAGTCTTACTACTCCCTCCTGAATGAAACCATCACAAGCTGAGGATGCCCAACATTTCATCGGGCTTCCTTCCTGATACGTTGATATCCGTTAATACTATTAGGTGGAGTGAGGCACTGAAAGCCTCAAGTCTAAAACACAATGACCCCGCCAGGTCTCGAACCCGTACCTCCGCAACCCCGAGATCAATTAGTTTAATGGAAGGATTAGAATTTATCTGATCTCCCATTAGGTTCTATAGTATTATTTGATCCCTTCCCCCTCACCCCTCTCACTGGCAATAAGAGGGTTGTCAATTTTCTGTAGCTCTCCTTTTAATTTATACTCTGTTGGCAGGAATGACGGCGACTGATCCCCTCTCTCTTTCACTTTAACACCATGTGACTCCCTCCCCCGAACAAATCCTCTATTCCTTATCCCCAAACGATAAAGTGTAACTGGTTCCTAACCGTTCGACCATTGCGTCTCCTACTTCATTACCTTTATGCGGTTTAATTAGACTTAGCAGCAGAGAACCTGATCCCGACATGTGGTTTCCAGGACCTTCTCTAAAAAGCAATTAATTAGATACAATGAATATATGAAGTTCATATATTTTGAACTGCGGTATTGAATACTTATGATACACGATCCTTCGCAGTAGATAGCGCTATTTATGCAATAGCAAAAATCAGACCTGAAAAAGATCAGGCATGTACGGGATTCGAACCACTGACCTCTGCGATACTAGTGCAGCACTCTACCAATTGAGCTAACAAGCCAACTGGGAGCAGGCCGTTAAGTTGATTCGTAATAAAATATATGAACTTCATATATTCATTGTACCTGATTTATCATCACGGGTTTATTACGAATCAACTCAACGACCTGCTCCCAGTTGGCTTGTTAGCTCAATTGGTAGAGCGCTGCACTATTATCGCAGAGGTCGGTGGTTCGAATCCCGTACAGGCCTGATTTTTTTCAGGTCTGATTTTCGCTATTGCATAAAAAGCGCTATCTACTGCGAAGGATCGTGCATCATACGAAAGTAATTAATGTTAGATATCTTTGCCTCCTAACAGCTATTGTCCTTACTCCAAAAAGTGAAAGCCCATAAGGTGAATGAAAGTATGGACCACAGACTATTCACCAAAAGTGCTTTGTTTGTTGCCAACTTTTGGGATGAAATCCCCTCTAAAGAAGCCGAGGATGTAAAGAATTCACAGCTCGAGGCACTGACTAGGAAGATGGGTGAGCTGGACGAGTCACAAATCGTTTACATGTCGTGCAAGCGAGTTCAGCTCGCACAGTCGTATGGCCTCATCGCGGACGAATTTGATAAGCTGATGAATGGGATTATCCGTCTTCTAGAATCCTATCTGAATGACAGTCTACAAATCTACTACAAGTGAGCTCAAACGTGGTTTACAATGAAAGTCTCTTAATGATGCCTGATTCTATAACCTTACCATTTCACTCTTACAATTCTTTCTTTTCCTTCTTTCATGTCTTTTATTACCACAATTAGCAGTAATGTCGCAATCTGACTGGGCAATTTGTGGATTTACCCGGCTGCGCCTCGTGAGTTCACACTATTTTGACCACTATGACCAAGCCAAAGCACTGGGTGATTTGTTAATGTTATGCACGGACCCACTCTATTCCTTTCTTCCTCATCTGATTTGAAAAAATACAATTTAACTATTCACATATTCACGCCAAGGGACGGGGTGGGGGAAATCTCGAAATAGGTGGATGTGACACAGAAAGTGGCTTGGCAGAAAATTTTGTTCAGGGGCAATAATGATCTATAGTGTACCGACCTTTATCAAGATCGGTTGTGATACTTAACTGTTTGATAATGTATCAAACAGCGCTGCAAGTCTGACTGAATAAAGCTCTTTTGGAAAATTCTCAGGTGGTTGGGCGATTTCCTGTTTCGTACATCTGAGCAAGTCGGGATCCTGTTGAATTCGACGACCCTGTCAAACAACGAAAGAGAAGAGAGGATGCAAAAAGTGATGGATAGGATGGCCGGACTGGAAAAATCACAAGATCAACTTTTCAACGAGCTCAGTGAAAGCCAACTACAAGCGATCAAAGAAGTTATCAACGATCTTGCCAATTACTTCAAATCCGAAGACACTACCAGAAGATTCTGCGCATGGTCCTCATCTGACCTGCCTGAGGATAAAGCAACCTGGGAAGAAACGAAAAGTGAAGCATTGAAATGTATCTCTGAAAGAGCCCGTGCGTTTGTGCAGAAATGGGAAGAGGACGAACATCATTTTGCGAGAACCCAAGTTGCCCTTATCAAACATTGCGCCGCTAAATATGACATTATGGAGGTAGACATCAGAAACCTACAAGAAGAGGTAGGAAGACCAGAGCAGGAAAACCTTAGCTTTGACCCTTTCAAGAGATATGCATCATTGCGAAGACGACTCCCGGTGCAAGGCAACGCCCCAGTGTGGTTCAGACAAGGTCTGACCTCGGTGGTACTTGGCACTCCGTTCATCTATAATTTGGCTGAAAAACTTAAAAAGAACTTTAAAAACAAAAGGAAGCTTGAAAAATTCAAACTCGATCTTGTTTCCTACATGAAAAAAAAATCCCAGAAGTGTCTTGGACTCATTGCCAATGAAGAAAGTCTGCTTCCGTTCATAAATGATCAGTTGAAGGATGCTGTCCAGTTCTTGAAGAACATCAAAGCCAAGATATCACGACTGAGAGAAGGTGATAAGCAGATATATAGTCAGCTATACGAAGCGAACGTCAGAAGCACATTCGAAATAAAAGAAGTCTATGAACCCGTACGTTCGCGTTTAGAAGTCTTAAAGCGTGAAGTAACAGTTTATGAAGTCAACTTTTTAAGAACATCAAAGTTCTCAAACAAGGAACTACAGTGGAACCAAGATGACAAATCTATCGTTGGAAGGGGAACTTTTTCTACAGTGTATAGTGGTGCTCTTTTAAGGAAAGGACAGCCAGAAGTTGAAGTGGCACTAAAAGTCTACAACAACCCAATTAGAAGCAACAACATATCGCATTTTATTGAGGAAGAATATGCTCTGAGGTAGGCTTTCTGTAATGTCTAAAATATAACAACAGAAGTTAAACACCAAAGAAGAAATCCAAATGCATGTTGTTGAAAAGGCAAATAGCAGCTGAAGGTTAACAGCGGAAAGAATAAGCCGTAAGTGTAACTTTCTAATCGATGTGGTCTACAATGACGAAAGAGAACTCACAATTTATTCCAAGTAAAAAAGTTGGTTTCAGGAGTACAATTACAAAAAACACGTGCAATCTAAATAAAATTTTATGTTCATTTATACTAATTAGAACATGAACCTTGAATCGTACATTTATTTTTTTCCCTTTTTTCTTCTATAATTTAGATGCCTCAGTCACCCAAACATCATAAAGTTCTTTGGAACGCATCTTTTCCAATCTCCACCATCTTGGACAAAAGTGATTATTGTCTTAGAGCTCTGCAAATGTTCGCTTAAAACTCGAATCATGTCCCAACCTGAAAATGCTCCTGCGCTCTCCAAAGACGAAACTGCTAGGATGAATGTGTTACTCTGGGCTGAACAGATTCTTGATGCCTTAAACTACTTTCATCAACAAGGATACGTTCATCGAGATCTAAATCTGGACAATTTACTGGTGAGTAAAACTTTTCTTATGCTGGCCAAGATGAATGCAACCGCGTTTGCCTGATACACTGTGATCTCTAACAACCTTAGAGTATCAACCGAAGGGTTAGCCAGCCTTTCCACTAACCTGTCTTGAATGAAAGCCATGCTTTCACCTAAATATGGAAATATCAATGTTTCTTATCGACAAAGAAAGAAACCGAAAAAGCTCATTAAGTAAATATAATTCTCTTCCAACAGGGTAAGGGCGCCTCGAAATCGGAGTTAGCTTAGTATCACCGTCCATCATCACGAGGATAAAGAAGATTTCTTATAACCTGACAAAATTTCAATTCTTATTTTTTTTTCTGCGAAGCGCATTCATGGAAACACAATCTCGGGTATAAAGATTTGTCGCGGATGATTTGCAGATTCTATAGCACTTAAGTTCGAACATGAGCTAGTATGGGAAATGGCAAACACACTAAAAATTCCTTTACAATATGCTTCAGGTCAAAGAACCTATTTATTGAATCATATGGTATTCAAATCAGATATTTCCGGAACGTTTGAGCACAGGTCCAATTTGGCTGCCTGAGGAGAATTTTGAATCCGACTATTTCCAAAATTGGACAAGCATGTAGTCCTCTTACTCATTAATTACATGGTTAATCAGGTAAAAGGGCGTTGGTCAGTCAAGCTATTATTCTTTAATTTTTGAAAACTCTCCAATTAAGGATGAATTTGGATAGTTTGAGGCTCAAACTATCCAAATTAACCTCAAAAATTAATCTCAAAAATTAATCTCAAACTATCCAAATTAACCCTTAATTAAGTTTTGTGGATTAATAAACTAGCAACTTTTCAATTATTATTATAATAGAATACTTCTACTACTGATGGAAAACTGTTTAGTTTTTTCTTCTTATGTTTGTGATTTATCTTCGATCCGTGAAATTAATAGCAAGTGATTGATTATTTAAGTTTGGTTGCTTGATAGAGAATGATGAGAACTACTAATTTTTTGTGTTAAAAGACATAACAGATCTACCGCGATGGTGATTAGCTATTTAAGCTTGATATACGACAAGGAAAACTTTGCCTGTGATTTTTCTCCAGTTGTGGCTCCCAGGGTGACCAGCTGGCAAGTCAAAACGGCCTCATTACAAAATTGACGTAGGAAAAGTTTCATGAAATGTCATCATGTCAACGATACCTTTCTGATGCGAGTTTGTTACGGTCTCTTGTATTAGATGCGAGCTTCAATGTATTCTTGTTTGTTTACTTCGTCCCTTCCAGCACAATCTCACAGGTAAATCAAAACTGTGGTTTTGCAGATAAATTGATTCTAATCCCTCTGACTGTTAATCACCCTCTATCGTTTTCATGCGCTTGAATTTTTAAAAAGCGAGAAGAACCGCCGTGATAGTGTTCTGACATTTTGTGTTCTTTTTAATTTGCATAATCCATAATCTGTCCGTGGGAATTACCGCTGTGAAATGCTTTGATCTGATCCTGCCCTTAGCCTATCAAAGCGCGCGTTATATGGGTCATAAGCCTAATCTATCAATCTTATTCATCATGCTTCCTGGCATGTAGGGCAGCAACAAAAGCTCTCCACTCCCGTCTGTCTTGGGCTAGTCTCACAAGCCTAAGCTATATAATAATAGTATTAAGAGCGTGCCTCTGTAATTTCCGACCACTCGAAATTGGTTCAAAAGTAAATCTTGCCTTAAACTTTGCATGTGAATAAGGAAACCATTGCCTATCTTCGGAACCAAAGTGGTTTCCCTCAGATTTCCAAAGATTTTTTTATTTTTGAACAATTTTTCGCGCGTAGGTCGAATCGTGAAATTGACATTATTTGTGTACACAAAATGAGCAATCTTTATTAAGATCTCACGCTGTCGAAAATGATTCGATACGAGAGCTATTCTGGAATATATAACAGTTTAATACATTAAATTTCCAAGTGTGATCACAAAGGTAGAGTACCTTGATACATGTAAACACTATCGTCACGTCTAATATGCCGCTACTTGACTAAGCGGTAAATTGGTACTTTTTAAATTGCTATTTCTCCGTACTGAGACAAAAAATCAGGAGTTGCACACACTCAAGAACCGTATATGAGAGCACCATTTTCCGTAAAAATAAACATAGCTGTTATCGCAGGAAAAAAATAAAGTGAAGTGGAAATGTAAGGTTTTCACATACCTGTACGGCGCTGCTTTCAGTAATTTGCATTCGTATTTATCCACAATGAATTCCAAAATAATCGCAAATGAACAGCTCAGTGCACTTACTAATACTGTAGAATGTCTGTAAGTCTGTTTTTATTGTCCGAAGGCCCAAGGATTCCAAGGATTTCTTTCCAGGTGCGAGTCTGTAGGAATTTAGGTCATTCATTCTGAGTGACGATTCAGCGGCACCGAAAAACAAGACTGTGCTGCAAAGATAGAAGAACTGGTCACAGATTGTGGTGGTCTCCAGTCACTGCCCCCCCCCCCTCCCGCCCGCGGCTCCCCAGATTCGCATGCAATCGAGGCCACAGGGTTGTTTATCAGAGAAGAGAATGTTACGCTGAACGTCACTCGACTTTTTACATATTACCGAAATTACCGGCAAATTTGGAACAGTTTATAACTTGAATTCGGATGTAGCTGCGTATTTTAGGGGATACTGTGGGCGTACACAAAACGTGAGGAAGGCCATAACCAAGGCCATGGTGTAGGCCATGTCCTACCATGTGGCCTAACCTGTGGCTTACCTTATGGCCTACCCTATGGCCTACCCTGCGGCCTACCCTATGGCCTACCCTGTGCCCTAAACTGTGGCTTACCTTATGGCCTACCCTATGGCCTACCGGTGCTCAGATTTTTAAAAACATAAATATAAAATCAACAAGAGTCGAACGAGTACGCTAGCGTACAAGTCTATGCCTATAAAAAGGATCATTTCGCTTAAAGGATCATATTGCTTAAACCAAGTATGGATTCATTTTGGTGGTCGAAAACTAGCCTTACTCTTTATCTGAGGAATATGGTCGCATGATAGTTTCGCAAGATCATTATGAGAGCAACTTGCTTCCAGAATATTTTTTTGACTAAGTGAAAAAGTGGTATTCAACGTTCATCAAAAGGTCCTCCTAAACTTTCCCATGGTTAGACTAGCTCGTGTTTGCTATGTTAATAAAAATCAACCTACAATCTCCAATTATTGTGCCCTAATTGCATAGAGATAATATCAAAAATTATCAAGACTATTGTTTAAAAGAAATTTTCGGCGTACCTTGTGGAAAATATATTCGATTCTATCAGGTTTAGAATTAAACTTTATTCTTGCCGATTTTTTAAGTTGACAGATGACAACAAAGTGAAACTAATCGAAGTTGGTATAGCCAAGCACGAAAAAGAAATGACGGGTACGTTTCGAAGTATGCTGACTTACCTTGCCCCCGAGGTCCTGGCAGGTAAAACTTACAACACCGAGGCCGACATGTATAGTTTTGGTGTGATTCTTTGGGAGATGTGGTATGCTGAGACAGCATTTCAACCAGACGTTATTCCCCACTCACCATTTCAGCTTACGAAAGACAAGGTCACAGAAATCAAAGCCCTGCGCCCGAGACACATTAAAGGAACTTATAAACCCTGGAGTAAATGGGAGCTTGTCATGAAGACGTGTTGGGAGGGTGAGCCAAGTCAACGACTGACCGCTTTAGAATGCTTACAAGAACTTGGCGACCTCCGTCAGCGTATAGAGAAAAAAGCACCCAGCGGATTGGCTGTGAAACATGTTCCGTTACCAGAGGCAACCCAAAGTCAATCAACCGCTGAAAGCAGTCCGATTACGTTGAATCCCGACCCAATTACTAAACCAAAACAACAGCGAACACCGCCACCAATAAAACCCAAGCCAGAAAGATCGTCTATGACAATTGAGAAGGCAACTAAAATTCAATCAACCGCTGAAAGCAGCCCGACTACTTTGAAACCAGAAGTTATCCCCGATTCATCTTTCTATTCTACGAAAGACACGGTCACAGGAAATAAAGCCCTGCCCCCGAGACACAAAGAAGTAACTTATTAAGCCCTTAGAGACTGAGAGCTTGTCATGAAGAAATGTTGGGAGAGCGAGCCAAGTCAACGCCTGACCGCTCTACAATGCCTACAAGAACTTGAAAGCCTCAACCAGCACATAGAGGAAAAAGCACCCAACGGATTGGCTGTGAAACATGTTCCGTTACCAGAGGCAACGCAAAGTCAATCAACCGCTGAAAGCAGTCCGATTACGTTGAATCCCGACCCAATTACTAAACCAAAACAACAGCGAACACCGCCACCAATAAAACCCAAGCCAGAAAGATCGTCTATGACAATTGAGAAGGCAACTAAAATTCAATCAACCGCTGAAAGCAGCCCGACTACTTTGAAACCAGAAGTTATCCCCGATTCATCTTTCTATTCTACGAAAGACACGGTCACAGGAAATAAAGCCCTGCCCCCGAGACACAAAGAAGTAACTTATTAAGCCCTTAGAGACTGAGAGCTTGTCATGAAGAAATGTTGGGAGAGCGAGCCAAGTCAACGCCTGACCGCTCTACAATGCCTACAAGAACTTGAAAGCCTCAACCAGCACATAGAGGAAAAAGCATCCAGCGGATTGGCTGTGAAACATGTTCCTTTACCAGAGGCAACCCAACCCCCCTCCCCCCCCCAGTGAGACTGGACTTATGATGGGACCACCCTGCTGAGGACATTTTTTGTTGCGTTACTATTATGGTATAAAAAAACTTGTGCTTTTTCGTTTGAAGTTATTTTAGTAGTCTGAACAAAATATTTTAGTAGTCGGAACAAAACATTTTATTAGTCTGGACAGAACAGTGTGAAACCCGAGCCAATCACTAAGCCAAAACAAAAGCGAACACCACCACCAACAAAACCAAAGCCAAAAAAATAATCTGTGTCGCTTTCTATTAAAAAGAAACATTGAGAAAAATGTTCAATTTCAATGAACTCGACGGATAACTTTATAATAGATTTAGGATAGATTTATAGTAGTTTTGATATAGCTCAGGGACCAAATGTTCAACTCGACTATTTTCCCTTTTACCCAACTGAAAGCTGACACTTAAGCAACAATGGTCCCTCTAATTAAAAGGTTTTTGTTTTTAGTTGGACGGCGAAAGAGAAACCTAAGGCAATAGCCACTAGCCTTAACAAATGATAGTTGCCCTATAATTTCTGGCAAATACACGATTTTTACTTAAAAAATAGTGCATTAAAGTTAAAAAGTAAGACGGGGAACCCCCAAAAATTAAGTAGTTGAGTCTTAGTAGATGATGTCATAGAGTTTCAGGTATTCTGATCAAGCAGCCTCAGATTTAACTGGATATTTCGTATACTTTATAGTTTACATTGTACATCTAACGCGTTCCAGTGCAAGCGAATTATTACATTTTGTGGCGGATATTGGACATTAAATAACTTCTCTAACGGTAAAAACAGCTCACAGAAGGAGAAAAACTTTAGCTCGCTCGTCATTAAATCGACTTCAAGTTTTATGGATAAAACATTAAGTGACTTAACCTTATCGTGATCAAGGCAAAAATTTCATTTAAAAAATCCTTTTCATTCCCAGCACTACTTAGCACGAAATGACCTTCATCAGGCGATTCTCAATGTGGTGAACCGTCAGCCGTACAATGGCTAACGTTTCTACCATTAGCTATAAAAATCATCTCCACATTGAGACCCTCTATCATACTTGGAGCACACAAGAAAATCTTATAATTATCTTTTTCTGCTGACTGAGACGCCTTTGAGCCTGCTATACGGAAATGCTGCATAGAACATTTTCTTGGTGTGTTCATTCTGTTATGATCTAATTAATTTTGGAGGTCGCTAAACAGGACACATGAGAAAATGGCAGAGAAGAAAACAAAATCACTGGCAATGTCGCTGATCTGTTTGAAATACTTCAAGCCATCGAAGCGCTTGAAGTTTCTTGTCGTCAAGTATTAGGAGGATTGGAACAAATGAAAGCTCAAGTATAAAAACTGTGATGAGTCAGTCATTAACCTTTCCCCCTGACATCAGTATGCATATTCTCCTAATGTGCTGACAAGGAGAATATGTTTAACAATCAAGATCTTTATTAGTTGGTGATCATTTCCTTAATTCTTGTGCCCTTAATGTGTGATTCAGGGGTGATGATGTAAGGATAAATTAGATGCTGGTCACTCTGAGGGTTTAAAGGGTTAAATAGCCAAAACTAGATCGCTGGCTGCGTAAAGAATATTTGGGAATTCACTGGAAAAAAAGTTTTTTTTTTTTGTGTTGTGGGTGGGGAACAGTGCGCACAACATGAAGCCGCTGAGATAATTATGGAGACAATTTCTATTTTCGTGCAAATTGGAAATGTATCATTCTTGTCACGTAAATAATGATTGCAGATGCATTTTATTCCTATTATTCTCGCCGCTTTAAAACTTTAAGGGTGCTACAATGCAACAATTAGAGATGATTTTTCAAATATTGAAGAATGCAGGGGAAGAAAATTAAAAACCCGATCCTACTATGCTAAATTAATAAAAGTATTTGGACTGACCGGAGTCCAATACGGTCTGAAATCATAGGAGTGATTAACAAAATTAGACAAACGTGAAGCGGGAGTCCGATTTGTCAGTCCTGAGTATGATTATGGACAGAATTCGACGACAAAAAGTCCTGTTTCCAGTTAATCAAAACTATGACAAAATTAAAAAAAAAAAAAAAAAAAATCGGCTATTCGTTTTCGTGAAATCAACAACAACAACAACAACAACAGTAATTAGCCGAAATGCGCGACATCACAGGCTTATTACGCTTACTCGGTCCAATTACACAGGCGTGACGTGTCAATTGTTCTATCACACTGTCCAATTACAAGCATGATACATGCATTTTCCAAGAAGTGCTCAAATCGGGCTGGTGATGACCAATCATGTTCGGGAATTCTGTTATGCTTGAAATTAACTCTATAAATGTTATCTTATTCCAGAACTGTGTGGTTGACTAAACGATAGCGAAACTTATCTTATCATGGAAACCCAATATGCAAGATGTAAAGCCAAAAATTAAAGATATATGAAAAAAAAGTTCAACCAAAACAAATGACTCATCACAAAGAGGAATGCTTTTTCAAATTTAGGAGTGCAAAAAAGAACCTGATCTTAACAATCCATTATCTAAGAATGAATCCACAATAGGCAATGGTAAATCTAGACACCAAGTGAAAATAAGCATATACTCGGGTATGCATGTGACAGTATTTTCAATTCTTCAACAATGACATTCGTCGAGAAATTATATTTTATTGCCATCTCTCTAAAATTTGGATGATAATCCATTTATTCAAATGAGCTTCTATGAATATGTAGCCACTATTAACGAACATTGTAAGAGGGAAACTGAGTGCATAGTTCTCTGAGTCGCAGTTTCCGTGTAGAGTCTCTTCGTCAAGATTTGCATTTAATGATCCTAGAAACTGAATCCCGAGGTAACATATAAGAAAACATACATAAGAAATATGTCTACCGCAGTGCTGCCGTACATCAAAGGAGTCTCACAAACCCTCTGCCACCACTTACAGCAACAAGGAATACGCCCGTCCTTAAGTCCGACACCACACTAAGATCTCGGCTGGTCAGACCAAAAGATCCCGCTGACTCAAACAAGCAAGATGACATAGTCTACAAGATACTATGCCCATGTGGCAAAGTCTACATCTGGGAAACAGGACGGCCCATGCGAGAAAGACTGAAAGAACACGACAGGGATATACGACTCCCACGCACTCAGACTTCCGTGGTTTCAGAACATGTTAACGGAACCGGACACAAGCCGCTGTGGAACGAAATAAAGTTTATTGACCGAGAAAGCCATTGGTACACACGCAAGGAAATGAAAGAGGCTATTCACATAATACTCAACCCAAACAACATAAATAGGGACAACGGAGCCGAAATACCGGAAGCGTGGATGCCTACAATAAGAAAACACTAAAAACAACGCCGCACGAAAAACCAGCGAACGCCTGAGGGAACCATGGTACATGAAAACAATAGCCGGATCGAAATGCACCAGTCACAACAGACCACCATGATACACAATGCTGTGCCAGAACTAGTCAAACCCATCGCCTGAAGAAGAATTTTAAGAGTGTGTCTCTGTAAAAGCGGTCCGGTCAATTTTGCTTGAGACACAGATTTCCCTAATTTCTTGTGGGTTGTAAGAAATTCATATGCCTATACTAAAACCACAATCCGTTTGATCGGATCTCTTTATTTTTCAAAGTTTTACGGAAATGAAATTTCACTCGAGCGAAGGCCTGTCGTGACACTTTTCAAGACTTTAATTTGAGACAACTTTGGAGGACAATTTAAAAAAAACTACGGAACTCAGCAAAAAACAAATACCACAGCCATGTATATTAATTCTATCTTATCCATCGAGGCGACTTTCGTGAACATCACATTTCAATCAAGGAAACAGGAAGACTTGAATGACACCTTATCG